AAAACTTGGATTCCCTATTATGGCCCCACCCTACCCCAGTGGTCATGATTTGAACAATTTAAAATCTACACTACCCCAGGATGCTTCCATATAAGTTTCAGCTTTTCTGGCCCAGTGGTTCTTGAGAAGAAGATTTTTTAAGATTTTTCTTATATATTTCAATGTAAAACTTGGATTCCCTATTGTGGCCCCACCCTACCCCCGGGGGTCATGATTTGAACAATTTAGAATCTACACTACCCCAGGATGCTTCCATATAAGTTTCAGCTTTTCTGGCCCAGTGGTTCTTGAGAAGAAGACTTTTAAAGATTTTTCTTATATATTTCAATGTAAAACTTGGATTCCCTACTGTGGCCCCGCCCTACCCCCGGGGGTCATGATTTGAACAATTTAGAATCTACACTACCCCAGGATGCTTCCATATATAAGTTTCAGCTTTTCTGGCCCAGTGGTTCTTGAGAAGAAGATTTTTTAAGATTTTTCCTATATATTTCAATGTAAAACTTGGATTCCCTATTGTGGCCCCGCCCTACCCCCGGGGGTCATGATCTGAACAATTTAGAATCTACACTACCCCAGGATGCTTCCATATAAGTTTCAGCTTTTCTGGCCCAGTGGTTCTTGAGAAGAAGATTTTTTAAGATTTTTCCTATATATTTCAATGTAAAACTTGGATTCCCTATTGTGGCCCCGCCCTACCCCCGGGGGTCATGATCTGAACAATTTAGAATCTACACTACCCCAGGATGCTTCCATATAAGTTTCAGCTTTTCTGGCCCAGTGGTTCTTGAGAAGAAGATTTTTTAATGACTCCACCCTATTTTTGTCTTCTCTTGATTATCTCCCCTTGTGAGGGGACTTGGCCCTTCATTTTAACAATTTAAATTCCCCTTCACCCAAGGATGCTTTGTACCAAGTTTGGTCAAAATTGGCCCAGTGGTTCTTCAGAAGAAGTCAAAAATGTGAAAAGTTTACAGACGGACGGACAGACAGACAGACAGACGGACAGACGGACAGACGGACGGACGGACGACGGACAAAATGTGATCAGAAAAGCTCACTTGAGCCTTCGGCTCAGGTGAGCTAAAAATGTTATATAAATCACAAGCAGCATTAATGAGAGTCAAGTATATGTGCATACCCCAAAATGTCAGGAGTGCAACATTTGATGTTTTGCTCCCAAGCATGAAAAAACTATTATCATTATATGATTTTCTGATTTTTATTTTGGAAAATAAAGACACAAAGAACATTTTTACCAAATAGATTTATCAATTACAGGATCTGTCTGTGCTTCAGATCCATATTTCTATGGTCAGGAGTGCAACACATTTTTTAAAAGATTCAAGTTGTGTGACGAAAAGACTTCTATTCATGCTTAGAAGTATTCATTAATTAATAAGGATCTTTTTGTATAATTTAATGCTAAATTATTGACAGTTTTATTATTAAAATCCTTCCTTTTTCCAATTTAACAATTCAGATGTGTTTTTATCTTTTTGTGATTTTTTTAATGAACGTTAAAAATAAACACACTAAAACATTGTCATAAAATTCAAGTAATTCCTCCTCAACTTCACTGAAACAACAGAACAAGTTCTTATGTAATTTTCAGTTCACAATTCTACTTTAAAGGCCCCAATGCTTTTGGTCAGGAGTGCAACAAATATGTTAGAATTATAAATCATCCACTAAGAATAAAAATAAAGAAAAAATGACGAGTAGAATGTCTCTGGTGGGTTACTGTGTTTGTCTTCTAAAGGAAAATATGCTTTAAAATATATTTTATCTTCTAAATATACATTTAAGCTAGTTTTTGGGCATAAAATAGGGTATAATTCCAGATAAAATGCGAATTTTAAATACTTTCATCTGTTTTAATTATGAAGTATTGAACTATAAGTATTGCACAATTTCATTACCACTTGATGTTGCCAACACTTTATGAATTTTTGTGTTCTATGGTTTTAATTTTAAACTTTACTGCAGTCAGGAGTGCAACAAAACTGCTTCATAATTACCGATGCTTTTTAACTATCTTTACTAAAAAATAAGTTGAAAAAAATGCTTGATACTATTTGATGTTCAAAACACTATGTCTATCAACAAATTACAGAAATTTTACAGTCAATTCAGGGAATAGTTTTCCTCATTTCACATATATTTTAAATACATTTTATATATATTACACTTTGCAAATAATCATGTTTTAAGGTCTTCAACATATGAAAAACCTGCTGTAAACGATGAAAAATATTGACACGGCAAATTGATTTACAAAGTAAGAATGAGTTATTGTGTGTTATAATTTTTAAAACAATGTTAAATAAAATACATATCAGATGTCAGGAGTGCAACACAATAATGTAACATAGGGTCACTTCAAAATCTAGTATTTTTTGTAAGAGAACTCGTATAAAACAATTCTTTTTTGGCTTTGATTTAAAGAATTGACTTGAACGGACAAAAAAGTGAATTTTGGGGAATTCTATTGCTTCATATTTTTTTCATATTAAAACTTTTCAAACCAGAATTAAAAAAATATTGTAAAATAACAATCAAAAAGCCAATTTTTTGTCACATGTACAAGAGAAGATACTCATTCAAGGTCTAGATTTAATCATTTATACCCCTTTTACCATTTTGAAGCATAAAAAACTATAATTTCTTGTGATTATGTATTTTAGAAAGTCTTTTAAGGTGTAATGATAATTTCTTTTTTCAAAAGAAATTTTTCTAATAAAAATTCTGAAACTTTTTAATCCAATTGTCTATTCTATTGCCACTTCAGGATTTTAAACTAGAATGCATTTGCAATATGATGATATAAGTGAAAAATATGTTACAAGTAGTTGAATTTTGCCAAAAAAATTCAGTTTGGTGGTCATTTTTTTTTAATTCACCCAACTGTTTGTCGGGATGCACTTATAAACTTGAAAATTAACTAATTTAAGTAAAGCCGTCAATATCTTTCTACCAAAAAATCTGAACAAAAGAAAATATCAGTGCATAAGGCTTATCAGATGAAGAAGAGAGATGGATCTCTAATAAACAGCTGATAAATACACTTGCATCTGATAACTGCCCGTCGGCATTCTGAATGACACACTGACTCTTTCCATTATAATAATTTCAGAGTCCACTAACTTTTTAGAAAAAGGTTGGTACAATCAAGGAAGCGTCTATTTCACAAAGTAATCTGTTAAAAACTATGACGGTTCTTTAGTTTTCAAGTATCCTAATTGAAAGTACATTTGTAAAATCAACAAAATCATCACTGTTTGACCTTAAAATCTAACTATAACATTAAATGAATTTTAAGAGCCCTAGTCATCGTTCATTTATTTATACACATTTGTGTACTGGACGACCTGTCCCACTTCCATGCTGATATGGATACTATTTGCCCCTCTATCGTTGGAGAGCTACAATTGAAACTTTCGTATTAGTTCAGTGGTTCCAGAGAAGAAGCTGAAAATGTCCAAAATTTTAAACTGACAAATAACGGACTATGCATGCTGACGGACAAAAACAGGTTGCAATAGGGCACCTGAGTGACTAAGGTGACCTAAAAAGGTCATTAAATGGTTAAATTGAAACTAGATTGTTTAAATTGTAAATATCTATTTTCCCTCTTGATGTTAAAAACAATACATTCATTGGACTAAGACAACATACAGTCAAACTTGTCACAGCGGTCACCTTTATCCAGCGGTCACCTGTCCTATGCGGTCATTTTATTTCCTCCCAATGAATTTTCCTACATAATGTAACTCTATTAGGCGGTCACCTGCGTAACGCAGTCAGCGGTCATCAAATTTCATGTAAAAATCGCCGTTTTACCTCGTATATAGCGGCCATTTTGTCCGAGCACGTGACCAGATCTAAAGTCAGGTGACTCCCAATTTTTGTCACTAATGTAAATAATTGGTCTTGTGTAGCGAGATCATGGAAAAAATAATTGGCCTTATTAAAATCATATAACGTATTGGATAATTTTTTTTTTATTTTTTGACAAAACTAAACAAGGGTGCTAGTGACCAAAAAGGTTATCAGGAAAACGGACTTACGAGAATCTTAATCTTATTGAACTGGAATCTGGTTTAAAAATACCGAACAATACACAAGGCACCCTTAGTATTAATGGATACAATAATTAGATGTTTCCTAACTATTAGTTCATGTTTGGCATGCCCAACTCCGATAGGTGTAATTGTGTAAATGCATGACATGCCGTTTTTAACACATAGGAAACATATTATTTGTAGAAACCCTAATTAACTGTTTTGTGTAGTCAATGTGTCCTGATTATCTCGTGATTTTCAACTAGGTAAGATGCAGTAAGGATTAGTCACCCTTCATTGCTCACAACACCTGTGGATTTGATATCAATTTGTATTATGCACTGCTTTGATAAACTGAGAATATTATGATTGTATGTTTATTACGCTACCTATTTATGTATGATTAGACATACAATTATCAGGACTAACTAAACTTGTTTTTTAGAGGCAGTTTAGATTAAAATAAAAACATTATATTTTATTCATGGCACAACATGATAATGTAATCTTATAATAAAAGAAAGTTTTGTTGTTGTTTGGAGGGAAGATAATGCAATGCCCTATTAATCTCAATATTTTTTTTTGTTGGAGTCATCAAATTTATCTTGAACTTTATCTTGAGACTATTTAGATTTAAAAAAAAAAAACTAACTGAGACCATTGTCCAAATTAAAACACAACTTTCTTTAATAATATTGTGATGATGTAGTATTTTAAAACACAGAACTTGCATAAATTGGAAAAGAAATTTTCTTGAAAAAAGATGAACCTCTTTTCAAAGGTCACCTCTCTATAAAGGTCACTTTTAATGGTTCTCGTAGGTGACTGCTTAATACAGGTTTGACTGTAGTTTTTTTTTTAAGTTACATGCAGTGACAAACTGCAAACTTCCACACACACACACACACACACACACATGAAAATGTAAATATATACCAGCAATGGAAATGATTTCAGCTACTATACTTTTCTGCTGTTCACTGTATTCCTCTTTGGCTTTCAGATAATCCTCATTGAGCTGTTTTACTGCATTGTTGTGGAAGCGCACTCCACTATTCTTGGTATCTATTGTTGTGTAGTTTTTGTTATTTCTTATTGCTTTTTCCTCCTAGGAATTAATGGAACATTTTAAGAACAGCTGCAATAAACAAGAAGCTCATGGGTCAATGCTCACCTGAGTTACTTTAACCCTGCTGTTCTTCAACAGAATTTTAAAATAAAATTTCATATTCCCTTGAAAAACTGTGACCCTGTAGTTTGGCCCCACTCTAAAGGGTTCCTTCATTTAAACAAACTTGAATCCCCCTTAGCTAACGATCCTTGTGGTAAGTTTAGTTGAATTTGGCCCATTGGTTATTGAGAAGTCAAAAATGTGAGAATTTTACAGACAGATGGGCAGACAGACAGCTAGACAAAATGTGATCAGAAAAGCTCACTTTAGGTGGTGAGCTCAAAAATAAAACTAGAGATACTGTGAGCAATGAGCTCACAAAATGATACCCCAGTCCTTTCCCCATATGAGTATACAGTCCCTGAAACATTCTACTTTCCCATTTTTCCATCCACTCACAGTTATGCGTTCACCATGCGCTCGCGTTCACCGTTCACATAGCGTTCAGCGTTCGCTGTACGTTCATTCACTTTGCGTTCAGCGTTCAGTTATCGTTCAGTCTTCAGTGTCATTCAGAACTCTGAAGTGAAAGACTTATCTGTTTAAAAGTAAGGATTTACGGGTTTTTTAATTTAATAATTAACATATTGTGCTTAAAGAATCATTATCTCGTTGGAAAAATTATCCACAATATTCTAACATTATTTTTTGTATTATTCTAACTTTGCTGTAAGGTTATTTATTAATCTACTCTGGGAAATAGATGTTGTTATAAGTATGTACCTACATGTATGTAGAACGATGCTGAAAAATTTAATTGAAATACAGGCGATATAATTAGATACTTCAAGCACTGCAACATTTTGTTGTTATGTTATAGATGACAAATCATTAATGGAGAGATAATTATCCAAGTTAATTAAGTTACAAACTGCAGCAAAATTACGAAAATATTTATTTCTAACACTGCAGCAAAATTACGAAAATATTTCCAATTACTACAGAAATACATGATAAAACTTGTTCTGAGAATTAAACATAGTACTGCGGATATCTTGTTCATTAAATATCTTTGAAGCAAATTAAATTGATAGTGTGGTTATAACAAAATATTTATTTTAAATGTAATACACTACAGATTTTCTCTACTATAATGATATAAAGTCTATAGTTATAGAGAAAATAAATTCTTCCTTCACTGTAACTTTATATGTTTGCCATTCGATATGATTAAGAGCCCCCCCCCCCCCCTTTTCTTTCCTCCTTAATTGGTTACTTAGTCAGTATTTCCTGTATATTTTAAAAACATTTCAAAAGGAGTTAGTGTGTTTTGTGCCACAAAGATTTCAGTCAAAAAAACCCATAAGTCGCTGATGAGACTGTAGCTCTACTGGTTGTACTTATAAAGGAAGATAAAAGTAGCACTTGGACTTGAAACTTTGCAACAGCAATGTATAGAATAATGATCCTTGGTTTAGTCTGTTTTTGTGGCAAGAATTATTGCAATCATAATAAAACTGTAGGCAGAGTAGCTTTTTAAAATAATTTTACAAAAATTTCGTTTAAGTGACCATGGCAACATCACTCATCAAAATCAAAAAGCAATAATAACAATTATGTATCTCAGTGTAGTCTACTTGTATGCCAAGTTATACTGAAATCAGACAAAACATGTAGGAGGAGTAGCGTTTTGAAAGTATTTCAAAAAAATTCTATTTTTAGTAACCATGGCAACATTATTCATCAAAATTAAAAAACTGGTAGAGAGAATTATGTATCTTAGTGTAGTCTACTTGTGTGTCCAGTTATACTAAAATCAGACCAAAACTGTAGGAGGAGTAGCATTTTGAAAGTATTTCAAGGAAATTTCTATTTTTAGTAACCATGGCAACACCGTTCATCGAAATCAAAAACGGAAACAAAGAAATTATGTATTTTAGTGTAGTCTACTTGTGTGCCAAATTATATTGAAAAGAGGTCGAAACTGTAGGAGGAGTAGCGTTTTGACTCATGTGGAAAATCTAGCTCAGATCCAGAATCCAGAGCAAGTGTGGTAGTGTCCATCCCTGGATACCCTCATCCATGCAAGTTTGGTCAAGGTAGGCTTATAGTTACCTGAGAATGGACCTGCTCCAAAAACTTCAACCTGTTCACTCATCTGGAAAATTTAGGTCATATCCAGCATCTGAAGAAAGTGAGGTAGTGTCATCCCTAGATGCATCATCCATGCAAGTCTGGTCAATGCAGGGCTTAGTTACTTTGGAATAGACCCACTCAAAAAACTTTAACCTGGTCACTCATCTGGAAAATCTAGGTCAGATCCAGCATCCGAAGCAAGTGTGGTAGTGTCCATCCCTGGATGCATCATCCATGCAAGTTTGGTCGAGGTAGGGCTTATAGTTACTTGTGAATGGACTTGCGCCTAAATCCTTAATCAGGATGCCAATGCTAATGCCGACGGGGGTATAGCATAAGCTTTCTCGACTTTGTCAAGGGGAGCTAAAAATTGCAGAAAAAAAATTGTTTAGTTTTATCCCTATAATTTCATGACTGGTGTAAAAAACAGTTTAAGGACATTGGCAAGGTTCCAGGATATTGTATAGAGTTTTTCAAGAACTCTTGAGTAGGTTTGATGGTATTAAACAGGTTATAATCTGGTTAGTTTAACCAACCAAGCCAACCTTTTTTTTTTCAGATTTTATCAAATCAATGATTTTACAATTCTCAATATACATTTCCTGTGCAAAATTTTGATGAAATGGACTGACATAATTTTTCACCATAGGATTTCTCCAAAATCCAATTATTTCATATTGTTTATGCATTATATACATTATTGTATCCTCTTTTCCTACAACAACTAGATTGACTTAAAATATTTATATACAAACAATACACAGACAAACCGGCACCGCCTTCTTTATTATTGAGTTACTTCCCTTAATATCTATATAGTTATTCATAAATGTCAAGAGACTGGATGACTGTTTCTTCCGTCAGCGTATTAGTGCCACATAATATTTTTTTTAAGTTGGTAATTCCAACTTTAAAGTTGGCTTTTCCAACCTTAAAGTTGGTAATTCCAACTTAAAAGTGGTACTGTAATTTTGGAAGAAAGGACAATACTTTTTTTCTCAGAACCGCTGGGGTCGTCCTATTTAACGAATTGACCTATCTAAGGCTCAAGTTTACCAAAAATGCCACAAAATCAGTAAAATTTACATCAATTCTAAAGCAAATCTGTGCAATTTTTGTATTTTTTAAAATTATTTTACCGAGAAAATAATAATAAAGAATTAATATTTTTCCATTGATTTCTTACAAAATAAGTTCCATCAAATATCTGTCGATGTACAAAAAAACTTATTATATCATCTAGTAAATAATGTCTCAAAGTATATTTACAACATGTTGTGTCCATCTTGTGAAGTTGCATTATGTTATAGCGTTCATGTCCGTCCGTCTGTTAGCTTTTTCATCCCGGCTCATAACTTTAATACTATTAGGCCTAGAATTATCAAACTTTGTCAGCTGATACATCTAGGATAGAAGATGTGTCGCATATTAAAACCAGGTCACTCTGACCTTTAATAAAGACGCTATGGCCAAATATGGAAAAATCATAACTAGAAAACCATTAGACTTAGAATCAAAAAACTATGTCTTTTAACTTTTAAATTACACAATCCCAAAAGATGTCAGAGTATTGCAGTATCTTTATTAAAAAAGTGTTAAATCAAGAAAACACTAGTCTTATTTTTTTCATTATGTTCTTTACAGCAATCTGTAACAAGAAAAATTCCACCTCACCCATGGGTGTAATGATCAGGCACTGGTCAAGGAAAATTTTGATAGCAGAAAATTGCATGTCAAATTAGAGATAAATTAATGAGTTTAGTGTGAGGAGATAACTGGTAGAGCATCTCTGATCAAGCAGGTGTTATCTATATCTCTTGGGAAATGGGCAAAAGGAATCAGTCTCTTAATTAATTGCTTGTGTTGTATTGAATTGTTCTTGTTGGCTAGTCTTACTTTCAAGATAAATTTGATGTAATTAAAACTAATTTGATATTGTATATAATAATTAAAACTTATATGATATTGTATAATATAATTTAAACTAATTATTTATTGTACATTTTTATTTTGATTTTTATATCTTTACAACAAATTGCAGACTGCCTTGTCTCGCTAAGATGTCATTCGAACAATTGAATCTAAACTGTTTATGATAATTTAACAATATTTGATGGGCGTATCATGCTGTGGTGGGGCACTTTATTTAATGAATGAAACTAAGGTGCAGCCTAATAAAACATCAATACTAATAATTACAGTGTTTTTTATTATATTGAAAAAATAGTTTGCAACTATCTGCCATCTTTGTGAGACATGACACTCTGCAAATCAATTGTTGAAAAAAAATATGATAATTAATTATACAAAATCAAATTGAATACCTTTATATCAAACTCATTTTAAAAATAAAAGGCTGGTTCCAGTAACTATGTATTTTGACAGACATAAATTACAACTAAGAGACTTAAACAACAGAGATCTTTATTTCTTTCTGCCCAATTCCCCAGAGATATAGATAAGACCTGCTTGATCAGAGATGCCCTAACAACTTCCCACACTGAACTCATTAACTAATCTTTAACTGGATGCATGTCCACTCATTACTCCCAAGGGACAAATGGATTTACACTATCTGCTGTGTAATGTAAAAACTGTTTTTAATACTTTGTGTTTTTTTTTTTAGTTCTAATGAGTAGTTTTAAGCTGTAGTTCACATTTTTGTACAGATGTTCTAGATTCTATGTCTCAAACCTTAGACATGAACCCAAATGACTAAATCAATAAAAATTAAAAAAAAAAAACACCTGTAAAATGCAGAAAAATTATCAAATAATGTTGAAAATACCAGGTGCACATCTTCATATGGTAAATAATAACTGTACAAATTTTCATACAAATCTATGCAATAGTCTCTGGGA